TTTTGAGGAGACAAATAAAAATCGACGTTAACCACTCTTTGCCCTAATACGCCTGAACTATAAATTTGGTTCAAGAGTGTCACTAAAACATCAATGTGCTTCTCATCTAGGATTGTTAGGATTTCTATAGGAAGCATGTCAGGTCCAGGGTCCAGGACTTTTGCAGTGTGGAGAAGACGATGCAACTTCTAACTTTTTACAATATATCAGGAACCAGATATCGTAAAACATATTAAGATAGGACGTCTGAGGTGGATAGGGCATGTAATACAGATGGAACGAAATGACCCAGCTAGAAAAACGTTGAAAGACCCAGAACAAGGTTCCTTGATAAAATCGATAAAGACAAAAGAAATATGGAAATACTTGCTAAGCGGAGGAAGGCGATGGTTAGACACGACTGGAGAAAAATTCGAGGCTAGGGCCCATTGTAAAGCCAGAATGATAATGATGATGAACATATTGCTAGGGTGTAAAAAGCTATCTTGGCTCTGCAGTATTAGACAATGGTGAGATATGATGCGGTATGATGCGAGCTGAAGAACTATTTCTCGAAGCAGCTAATATAGAAACAGTCCAAGGACTTATAAATATGATGATAGCCAACATTCAACGTATAACAGTATGATGTAAGAGCTTAAATTTTAATTATTCTGACTTCTAATGAATCCATCTTTTTCTTCTTCTTCTTCTTCGTGTAGCCATTCACGTCCACATCTGAACATAAGCCTCTTCAAGTCTTCCTTTCCATTGTTTTTTATTGTACGCTACTTGTAGCCAATTTTTCCCGGCAGTTCTTTTCAGATCATCTGTCCATCTCATATGAGGTCTGCCTCTGGGTCTTTTGTGTTGGTATGGTCTCCAGGTTAAAATTGATCTGTGCCATTTGTTTAGATCGCTCCTATCTACATGTCCAGCGTATTCCCATTTTAATTTTAATGATTTTTGCACCACATCGGTGACTTTGGTTTTCTGTCTTATCCATGTGTTTGTTTTCTTAAGTCTTTCTTGTCCTTAAGTGATATACCTAGCATTGCTCTTTCCATCGCGTGTTGAGTGACTCTAAGTATATTCATATTCTTTTTTGTGATTGTCCATGTTTGTGCCGTATAAGTTAATATCGGAATAATGCATGCATCAAAAACTTTAGATCTAAGATGTAATTGAATTTGTTGATTTCTGAGTATATAGTTCAGTTTACTGAATACTGCCCAAGCCAACTTTCTTCTTGTTTTTATTTCTTCAGTTTGAATTTCCCTATTTAGGATTATTTTTTGTCCTAAGTATATATATTCTTCAACTTTTTCTATAACTTTATCGTTTATTATTGTCACGGTGTCTTCGGAGTGCATGACTTTTGTTTTGTTTAAATTCATTTTCAGTCCTATTTTAGAAGATTCGGTATGTAGTTCTAAAAGCATGGTTTGCATTTCTTGTAGGTCAGTAGCTAACAGGATTATGTCATCTGCAAATCGTAGATTACTGAGGTAGCGGCCATTGATGTTTATTCCTTTATATTTCCAATTTAGTTTTTTAAAAACGTCCTCCAAAACTAAGGTGAACAGTTTGGGTGATAAGATAAAGTATCTCCCTGTTTGACTCCCCTGTTTAATGGTACAGGGTTCGTGTGTTCATTTTCATTTAGGTAGTATGTAGCTGTAGCTTGGTTCATAGTTTCTTTTATTAGGTTAATATATCTGCTGTCTATTTTACAATTTTGCATTGCGTTTATTACGGCCGTGTGTTCTATGGTATCGAAAGCTTTTTCGTAGTCTACAAATGCTAGGAAAACTGGAAACTTGTATTCGTTACATTTTTCTATTAATATTTTTGTGGTTAACAGGTGATCGGAAGTTGAATAGCCTTTTCTAAAACCTGCCTGTTCATATGGTTGGTATTCGTCTAATTTCCTTGTTAGTCGAGTAGTTATGACTTTGGTGAGTATTTTAAAAAGGTGTGACAGTAGGCTGATGGGTCTGTAGTTTTCCAATTTTCGACTATCACCTTTCTTGTGTAATAAGATTACTTTAGAGTTGTTCCAGCTCTTAGGGACTTTGCCCTGATGTAAATAACTGTCCACAAGCTTAGTTACAATTGCAATTAGTTCCTTACCTCCTTCTAATATCATATCTGTGGTAATACTATCTTCTCCTGCAGCTTTATTTCTCTTCATGTTTTCCAATACTGTAGTTACCTCTGAAATTGTTACTTTTGGCATTATTTCTGATCCAACATTTTTTATTAATTTCTGTGCTGGTCTCATCTCATCATCTTGTCGATGTGATCTGTAAAGTTCAGTCTCTAAATGTGATTCTTCTATTCGTGTCAGTATGTTTTCTCTACTTGTGATTAAAATGAATCCATACATGCCTTAATATAACAATATAAACAAGATTGATTCCTTTGATCATTATTTAATTAAACATTTAACGAATTTATTATTACAGCTTCTGATATTTTACATCTATAACCGTTTAATTAACAGTTCAGCCAGAGACCACAATGCTTTGCTTTTATCAAATGGTTAAATTTATTTATATTTTTTATTTAGCTTTTCTAGTTACAAGTGCAAACATAATTCTGATTATTAACTGTAAGACTTCACGTAAAAATAAATCTTGTTTAAATTTAATACAATAACAGATAAGATCTTGCAATGGTAATGGCTTAACCAGAAATTATCAGTTCTAAATTTAAACACTTTTTTTAGATAAGCATTACGCAACTTAACTTATTTTCTACTAATGTTGTTGAATTCTTTATAAAAATAATATAAACAAATAACAAACTGTAAATAATGTGAAATAGTTGTAGTCTGAGTTGTGGCTGTTTAACCCTCCATAACTAACGTGGTGGATTTCAAGATAGTTATAGTAACGTCAGCGTTGATCTCATTGATCAACATTTTCTGTTAAATTTTAGCACTAACGCAAAATCTTACTATGGATTAAAACACATTATTTTACTTTATTAGATAATAGTTTATTAACACCTATATACAATTAATTCAGGATTAATTTAAATTATAGCAATGTAGTACATTTTTAAGTAATAAAAATAAAAACCGTAGGAAAAAGACAAAATGATTCGTCAATAACCTTGAATAAATCTTCCCCTCGAGTGTTACCTTTCAGCGGCAATATTGCTAGCAACTCTTCCCTAAAAATCTGACACTCCATATCAAGAAATCTTACAAAAACAGACATTTTTTGTTCATCACCAACAATGTCACATGATTCGTCAAGAAAGATTTTAATATTTGCAGATAAAATTTCCGTTCTTCGTGTATTACTTGGCGTTGACAATGAGATTCTTTGAATTGCTGAGGCTACATCTTTTGTTTTCTTCAAAAAGTGACTTAACTACTGCCAGCATACATTCCTTCACTATCTCAGAATCTTCTTCGTCTTCTTAAAGTGCCCTCTCCTCAATGGAGGTTGGCTACTACAATTTTAAACTCTTCTCTATCTTCAGCTGTTCTTATTAGCTGTTCAAAATTTAGCCCTGTCCATTGTCGGATGTTTCTGAGCCACGATAGTCTTGTCCTTCCTAGGCCTCTCTTTCCCTCGATTTTTCTTTCACTATAAGTTGGGCATATTGGTACTTATTATTTCTCAGTATGTGGCCTAGGTATGATGTTTTTCTAACTTTTACTGTGTTAAAAAGTTCTCTTTCCTTGCCTATTCTATGCAGCACTTCTTCGTTTGAGGTATGCGATGTCCATGAAATTTTGAGTATTCTCCGGTAGATCCACATTTCAAAGGCCTCCAATTTATTTACGGTTGATGTTTTAAGGGTCCACGTTTCAACTGCATATAGAAGAGTCGACCAGACGTAGCATTTTGATAAACGTAGTCGAATTTCGAGTTTTATTCGAGAATTACAAAGCAGTTTTTTTATTTTTTCGAAAGATTTTCTGGCCTGTTCTATTCTCGATCTTATTTCTAGATCAGGATTTAGGCTATTGACCTGTTCTAAAATGTGCCCATTTATTGTGCAAGGTTGAGATACGTTTTGGTTTTTTCGGATTGGCATCACTTTGTTTTTTTTTAATGTTTATTTTCATCCCAAATTGATTCCATCCTTGGAATCCTCCAATGCTTCTTTAAATAGAAACTCGCAGTAAAGATTAAACAGCAGAGGCGACAGAACACATCCTTGTCTAACTCCCCACCTAATTTCTACTTCTGCGGATATGGAACCTTAGATCCTAACTCTGGCGTTTTGGTTCCAGTACTAGTTTTTTAAGAATTTGATTTCTTTTCCATCTAAACCGACTTCTTGCAAACGTTCTAATAGTAATAAAATCTTAGAATCAGAAAATGGTTTTTGATGTTTATTATGTATCCAGCACACACGTAATCACGTAAAGACGCTGTAATCATTAGAACAAATACAGATCAGAAGTATGCAAACGATCCAATTTCTCGGGATAGGCTTTGGAACACAAAACTAAGTATTTTTAGTATTTTTGAAAAGGCTATTTAATGATACTACATTAGACCGATAGGACCGATAGGATATTAAGTATGAACAACCATACTTAATATGGTTGTCCATGTAGAATCCGAATCTGCAATAAAAAATGGGGCTTTTCATTTAGGATTTTAAAATTGTCCCCAGCCCCACCCCTAAGAGAATGCTTCTATGCTGCTTCTATGCTAAAACAAAGCTTATCTACTACCTACTTCTTTTTTTAATACAAACTGCTTTGGGTCTGTACTCATCACATTTTCGTTATCTTTGGGTCTATACTAGCCTGAGATGAATTTTCAGGACGTGGGTCACGAAACTTGTCTGTGATCCTTGCATGTTTAATGTATTAGTATCATCTATCTGGATCAGCTGCTTTGTGGGTTTTAACTTATTAATTGCAACTCCAAAAAATTTAAAGTTTTCCATTTATATAAATACAATTATATCATTTCGACTTTTATATACAAATTTGACTATGGAATAATAACTAGATGTATAATAAGTATCTTTATCTTTTGTTTTAGCTGAAAGCTGCTGTAATTAACGAAAAACTAGAAATTGTAGCAGAACAGATCGTAATTTATGACTCTGACTTACCAGAATTTCGCACCCAAGGAGGCGCGCTTATAGATAAAATTAACAATGCCTACATCACCTCTCCCACTTTAATGTGGGTAAAGGCCCTTGATATAGTGCTAGACAAGCTAACAGTAGCCGGAATTAATTTTTCGAAAATAGCAGCAGTCTCTGGAAGCGGCCAGGTAAGTTCTTTAAGTTTTATCAGATTTTATGGGCAGCAAATTTTATATACTGACCTGATTGGCATAGTTATTTAACACAAATTATTGAAACTTTTAGTGTATATTTAATATGTAGAAATATATTAGATACCATAAGCTGTGCTAATAATGTTTGTATATACAATACAATATGAACAATGTCAGAAGAGTCCAAAAACGTCAAAGATAATCGTACCAAGAACCAATATCGTGGTAGTAGGACTAATAACGGGGTATTTATCCCTTAAAAAAATCAACAGAATGAATTATATCCTTCTTCTTATTCTTTTTCTTCTTTATAATCAATTCTGCTTGTTCATTGGCGCATTAATACCTCTATGGAAGTTTGCCACTCTATCTTTTTCGCGGTCGTCCGATGCTTCTTCTGCTGATTGGTAACTTATCTCTTGATATTTTGATGACACGGGTCTCCTCTATTCTGCTTATATGGTTATTCCATTTTTTTTCTATTTGTGTCCATTCTTTTATACACCGTACGTTACATTTTTTTCTAATGTCTTCACTTCTCGTTCGATTTCTCCAGCATATTTCCTGTGTCTAATTCTTCTCAGTACTCTCATCTCTGCCGTTTCCAGTAGCCTTTGCGTTGTGGCTGTGTCGGGTCTTGTTTCTGAGGCATATATGCCTTCATTTTGCAGTCTTTTAAAGCGAGAAAAAAATTCTTCACATCATGAGTGTCTTAGCCAGAAGCAAATTTTTGGTCTGCTGTTCGTTTAAGGTAGCCACCGACACCATCAGCCGCCGCGGCCTGCAAATATTTTTGGCAAGATGAAATAAAAGTTTGTCTTCTGCCTATATTGCGTAGCAGGACCGTGGAAGAAGACGTGGATTGTTGTTGCTTTTAATGTGCTAACTGAGTGAAGATGTGCCCAAATGGCTGGAATATTGTGAGAATTATTTGGCGACACGCTGCATAATGAACTAACTTGTGCTTTGTTCGCTTCTTGTGGTTTATATACAAAACACCAGTATGCAATGTAATTTGCTTGGGCGATACTCTAAAATGATGTGATTGGATTTCTTTAAAGTATTTTTCGTTGTACCTAATTCTCACTGAAGTCGATATGTAGAAGAGCTTCGTTATGTTTTAAGTCATCAATAGCTAATCGGTAACTTTTGTATTGCATTTTAATATTATAAATATGTTTCTTTATCGCTGTCATTGCCACTTTAAACTTGTCTATCAATTCTTCGACAGTGCATTCAGTAATTTCTTTTATGTTTTTCGTAACTTTCTTGCAGTTTCTGGATTTGTCAATAATAATCTCATATCTCCGAACCCGCTGTTGCTATTTAAGAGTTTGTGACTAATTTTGTGTATTATATATTATATCTTTGGTACGGCAAGAGGCGCAACCATTCGTCTTTCAAAGTCTGTTATCAGTTGCACATTAAGTCTTCTCAATAATCTTTGTCATGTTTGACTCTGATATGATTTTCTTGCTGTAAAGAGCGTTCAGGATGTATTGTGTATTAATATGCATCTTACACTGACAGGTATCCCCGCCACCAACTACTGGTGCCGTTATTTTGGAAAAAGTGTAACATATTTCGTTAATAACTGTACATATTTAAGATGAGTATATCAGTAACGTATTAATCAAGTTGATTTTAAAAAATCATTGCTTGCTTTGATAATAATAGTGTTTGTTCAAGAGGGACCGGTTATTGGACCCAAAATAAAATACTACCCCATATGCCATTAGTGGTCTTACACTGGCTTTATAAATTCTTGACTTCATCTCAGTGTTATTGTGTCTGTTTCGCCATATAGTGTTATTAAGGCATCCTGCCAGTTTATTTGATTTTTGTACTTAATCTCTCACTTCTTTGTCCAGGTCTCCATAGCTAGACGGTGTAATTCCCAGGTATTTTATTTCCATTACTTGTTCAATACTGATACCATCAATTTCTATTTTACATCTGGTTGGTTATTTGCTGACTAATAGTCCTTTAGTTTTCTGAGAAAAGATTGTCATATTAAATTCTTTTGCTCTTATGTTAAATCTGTGGACCAGTCTTTGCAGACTATCTTCATTTTGGGCTATCAATATTGCATCGTCTACGTAACTGAGTGTTTTTATTTCTTTGCTTTCCATTTTGTATCCTCTTCCTTTGTTAATGCTTTTTATGATTTCGTCCATGATCAAATTGAAGAGCATGGGGTTCAATGAATCCCCTTGTCTTATTCCGCTGCCTATTTCTATAAGTTCCGTAAGTATTCCATTTATTCTGACTTCCATTTTGTTGTTTTGGTAGATGTTTTCGATAGTTTTTATAATATTTAGTGGAACTTCTCTATTATACAGAAGATGAATGACATCTTTGAGTCTTACTCCGCATTCTCCGCATCTTCAAATTAATTTTGCCTTTTCTATCCATAATTACCATTTTAATGGGAATAAGCCACAATTAAAGGTTAAAATAAGTTTATTGGCGTTTCAATTTCCACTTCGGAAATCGTCCACAAAATACAAACATTAATAAATTAAAAAAAATTTGTTTTTTTTTGGAGCTGTGGAGTGGTTAAACTGGACTTGATCCTCCCGCAGTCCTAGCAGCCTTAAGAGTCTAGATACAATGCCGTCTTCTGTCATATATCTGGCCATAAAAAAAATAGGTACTGCGAGGAGAGACAAGGTTCTTCAGCTGTGGTGAATGCAGCTCATCTAGGGAAAGGGTGACCCAAATTCAAGACTCCTGATCCTCCAGATTGGGGATTCGTAGAATGAGACTCGGAATCAGGGTGGATTTTTTAATAATGTACCCAGCGAATTTGACTATATAAAATGTTAGAGCTATGTCCAACCTGGAAAAATGAAGGAAAGGAAGGAATTTACGAATGAAAGTCATTCATTTATGTATGACGTCTTATGTATTTTCTTTTTCTAGCAACATGGTTCAGTTTATTGGCAAAGGGGAGCTAGTCAAACGTTAGCAACTTTAAATCCTGGTGAATTCCTTCATCAACAGTTAGCCCATTCTTTTGCTGTAGCTAACAGTCCGATATGGATGGATTCAAGTACGACCAAACAGTGCCAGTTACTTGAACAAGCTGTAGGGGGACCAATGGTATGTATTTTTCTTTTAAATGATTTATCTTCTTTTAATTTTACGGAAAGTTAAAGGATATATCTTTTAATATGTATTACAAAGAATTAGTTATTTTGTAACTTATTTAAATTTTTGATTTTAGAAATTAGCGGAAATTACAGGTTCTCGAGCTTATGAAAGATTCACAGGATCTCAAATATGTAAAATAAATCAAACAAGACCAGATGCTTATAAAAATTCAGAGGTAGGACTGTTAATATTAATTTTTTATAAATACTTTTTATCTCTTAATATTGTAGTCTACAATTAACTATTGATATATTTCAAAAGTATATTACATTTGTGAAATGATTGTTTTAGCGAATATCTCTCGTTAGCAGTTTCTTGTGTTCTCTCTTCGCTGGAAAAATTGCTCCAATAGATATATCCGACGGATCGGGAATGAACCTTATGAACATCAAAACGAAAAAATGGGACGAAACGTTGCTTGAAGTATGCGGATCAAATTTAGCCGAAAAGTTAGGAGATCCTGTACCATCAACAACAATTGTGGGAGATATATCGCCCTATTATGTGGACAGATACAACTTTAATCCCAACTGTAAAACAATTGCTTGTACTGGTGATAATCCTGCTTCTCTTATAGGTATAGTATATTTTTAGTTTCAAACATATTGTAGTATTTTTATTAAATCTAATTTATTGTTTTTATTTATTATCAAAGGTTCTACATTTATAACACTTACAAATTTATTAAAGTCTTTATTACTTACTTACTTACTTACTTACTCCGTGGCGTTACAACCCGTCGTGGGTTTTAGCCAACTCGACAACATGCCTCCACTGTTTTCTGTCTTGAGCAACCTCCATCCAATTCTCCACGCCCATAGTGCTTAGGTCTCCTGCTATATTATCTCGCCACCGGAGACGAGGGCGTCCGCGTTTTCTCCTTCCAGTTGGGACTTCCTCCCACACCAGTCTTACTGTTCGTTCGTCAGAATGTCTTCTGAGGTGTCCTGCCCATTGGAGTCTTCTGGACTTTATTTCTTTTATGATATTGGCGTCTGGTAAAGTTCTTCAAGCTCTTTGTTAGTTCTTATCCTATATTGTCCTGATGCTTCATCCAGCACAGGACCAAAGATCTTTCTTAGGATTTTTCTTTCCCAAACACATACATAGTCTTTCTTCGTTTGCTTTTGTTATCGTCCACGTTTCGCTTCCATACATCACAACGGGTCGTATGATTGTTTTATAGACCTGGATCTTCGTACGTCGTGTTAGTTGTTTTGATTTTATAAGGTTTTGGAGGACAAAAAGACATCTGTTGCCGGCCTGAATCCCGTTGTTTATTTCTTGTGTAATACTACAGCAAAAAAAATACTTTTCATTACAATAAATAATTAATATAATCATTAAGAAAATCATAATCAAAGTAATAATAATAAAATTGTTTTAATGTCACGTCACGTTTAAAAACACTTTAATAGATTGAAGGGCCTCCTGTGGCTCCTCTTAATGCCGTTGCTCTGTTTTGGAATCAATAGTTAATGTTTTAAAGTTTATGGTGGTTGTAGGAATCGGTTTAAAACGTCTAAAACAAAACGACCTTTCGGCCCAAACCCGTCCAATGCAAATGATGTCCGGTGAACACGGTGGCCACTCGATTCTTGCAATTCCATGATAATCTATCCATTCGTTCACAATTCTCGCGCGTTGGGGACGGGCATTATCGCCGAGAAAAACAAATCTGTAAGCTATTGCACCAGCAAATGGCACTATTATTGGCTATATGACCTCGTTAGGATACCTTTCAACAGCCATTGTTTTATTAATTAAAATTACTAAGTAATTGCATCCATTATAACTTATGCTCCGCCAAACACAAATTGATCCGCCTCCAAAACGATTGATTAAACTCATTAATTGTTCATTATATCGTTGTCCCCTTTCTCTCCAGACCAATATTCTATCGTCAGATGTAAATAATATACTTTGATTCGCAGAAAAGAGTCAATATCTCCAATCTTGGAAATTCCATTGACAGTGTTCCACTGGTTCCATCGCTCAACGATATCTGAGTACAAGTTGCTCAGCCGTCGATCGTGGATGTGTAGCGCGTTGTCTTGCTCTCAAATAACATGCATGCGACCGTCTTCTGATAGTTTGACTAGAAATGACCCTTTCAGTAGCTTGTCTAAAGAAGTTATTAATGCGGTGACACAGTCCTCTTGCCGTGCGGACTGTGAAATAATTTTATATGGGAAGGACGGGAACCAGCCACAACTTATGCTCAAAATCGTTTCACAGTCCGCACGGCAAGAGGACTGCTTCGTTAGGTAATGCATTACTATTCCGAAAAATTCTCGCTACTGCACTTAAAAATAGTTATACTTAGTTTTATTAATTGACTTCTACTTTGAAATAAACTAATTTGATTAAAATGTACCAATGACAACAACGAAACAAAAGTAGTAGTAGTAGGTAAGACTTTTATTACAGTCCCAATCTACCATAAACAATTAGCAAATAACAGATATTTCATTTCATAAAATTTAGCTCCAATAGTTTAAATTTGCTGGTTTGTGTATTTACGGATTACCATGAAGTATCCTATTTTTATATCAAATATATGCATTTATCTCGAGAGCACTATACTAAAACGTGTTGTTTGTTATATTTAAACAATAAATACACATTGTTGTCAAGTCGTTTCTGTAAGAAACACACTATAAAACGATATTCCTATTACATTGATCTCACGATAATGAATATACCTGTTATATATTTCATACAAAATACTTTTTAGGTATGAGGCTTAGCGAGAACTGGATAGCTGTAAGTTTAGGAACCAGTGATACAGTCTTCCTTTGGCTATCAGAGCCCAAAGTAGTTCTGGATGGTCATGTACTTTGTAATCCCATAGATGAAAATGCGTACATGGCCCTATTATGGTAAGTTCAAATTTAGTTAGACGGAGTACGATACGTATTCATTGACAGTAAGTAATACGTATGTCATCGAGAAAAACAAGACATTAAGATAAACAGTATTTTATTTATTTGACGTATGGCAGACCATACATCATACAACCTGTCCACTGCTGGACATACGTCTTTCCCATTTTTCGCCACTCTTCATGGTTCTGTTCGTCTTGTTGCCATTTCTTGGATATTCGTTTAATGTCATCCATCCAGAGTGTTGGTGGTCGTTCTCTACTGTTGTTTTGTTTTTGTCTTATTTTGGGTGCCAGTCAATTAGTTTTCTAGTCCATCTTGAGTCTTTTAATCTTGCTATGTGAACTATTCAATTTCATTTTAGCTTGGCTATACGTTCGACGACATCAGTGATACCTGTTCTTTTCCGTAGGTCTTGGTTCCTTATTTTTTCTTTTTTTGTCACGCCGAGGATCGATCTTTCCTTGCTCCTTTGTGCCACTCGCATTTTTACTGCTGTTCTTTTTGTGAAAGTGAGAGTTTCTGCTCCGTATGTCATAATAGAAAGAACGCATTGGTCAAATGTCTTCCGTTTCATAGCTATCGGGATGTTGCCCTTAAAGATGTCTTTTAGTGAACCGTACACCTCCCAAGCAAGTATTATTCGTCGTTGAAATTCACAGATCTGATTATCCTTGCTAATTCTGATGTCCGAGATATAAGTACTTTTCTATAAATTTTAACACTTGATTTTGGATGGTTAGGTTTTCGCTGGGAACGAAATTTGTCATAAATTTGTTCGTTTTTAGACCTTTTGTTGAAGATACGTTCTTGTAGCATTTGTTGTGCTTCACGCAGATCTTTGGTAATAGGTACTATATCATCTGCAAAACGCAGATGATTGAACATTTCCCCGCCTATTTTTAGTTCTCTATTTTCCCACTTTAGCATTGTAAAGGCGTATTAAAGGACCGTTATATAACTTAAATAATTTAGGTGAGAGAGTGTCGCCCTGTCTCACACCTCGCTTTATATGAATTTCTGTGGTGGTATCACGTAGTTTTACACGCATTGTGGCGTTTTGGTATAATGTTTGTACCAACTTTGTAAGTCGGCAGTTTATTCTACTATTGTTCAGAGCAGTTATAATGCTGTCTAATTCCACGGTATCGAAGGTTTTGTGAAAGTCTACGAAGATCAGTACCAATGATCTGGTATATTTTATCGATTTTTCTATTAAGTTTTTTACTTTTTATAGGTGATGGTTTGTTCCGAATTTTGAGCGGAGTCCAGCTTGTTCTCGAAGCTGGTATAAATCCAACTTTTTTCTAGTCTTGTCGTATTTATTCGGGTAAACATTTTATAGTTGTGGTTCAATAAGCTGTTTGGTCTATAGTCTTCTAGGTGCGCCTTGTCTCCTTTCTTGTGTAGTAAAATTGTTACTGCATTGTTCCATGTTTTCGGTATGCAACAATCTGTTAGACAAAGGTTAAACAAAATTTTTATTTGGTTGAGAAGGGCACGTCCGCCCGTCTTTATAGCTTCTATTACGACTTCATCTTCTTGTGGTGCTTTGTTATTTTTTATCTTTTTCATTGCGTCTTGGATTTCGCTTAGTATGATCTCTGGCATAAGCTCTGAACCCTGGTTGATGATTTTGCGTAATGCGGAGGCTTCCAAGTTCGTTTGGTCTTCTCTTTCACTTGTGTATAGTTCTTTTACTATGTCTACTAAGTCTTTTACTATGTGTACTAGTTCTTCTCTATTTGATATGTGGTTCTTCTTTGTTCTTTAGTTTGTATATTTCACATTTTCCACTGTTTAGCCGTCTTCTCAGCAGACTTTTATTCTCTTCCTTTCCTTGATTTCTCTTCTAGTTTCCATTAGTTGCTTTGTTTCAATGGTTATTTTTTGTCTTGGCCTCTTTCAGGGCAGCATTTTTCTTGAGCCTTTTGAATAGCTTCTACGATATTTTCGTTTAGAGTCTTTACATTATTTATGCATTCATTTTGTTATTCATATGGTCTTGGTACTTATTTAAATTCGCTGGGTCGTTCTGGCTTTCTTGCTAATCATTCTGGATCTTTCTGTTGTTAAGTCTAATTTTAGTTTGGCCCTTACCATTCTATGATCGCTGCCTGTGGTAAAGCTCTTAAGGACTGTGACATCGTTGAATATATTTTTTTTACTGATTGTGTAGTCTATTTCGTTTGTGATCTTGCCACCTGGCATTTCCACGTCCATCTTCTGTCGTCTTTTTTAAAGAAGAAACTATTCATCTGGTATAGAATTTGTTGTAATAGAAACTCTAGTGTTTGTCCACCCGCTCGTTTCTGCCTTCGGATCCTAATTTACCTAGTGCTGTTTCCTGTTCATCTTGCTTTAGACCGATCTTTGCGTTAAAAACGCCACATACAATCGTGTAGTGTGTTGGTGTTTCTTTCAGTGCCGTTGAGATATTATCGTAGAATTCTTCAATCTGCTTATCCGGATGGTTCGTTGTTGAAGCATATACTTGAATAATCTTTATTTTATACCATCTGTTTAACTTTACGATTAAATAGACTACTCTTCTGGATATACTCCTTGTAGTTACTACGTTATCTGCAAGTTTTTTATGTATAAAGAAACCAACTCCCCCGATTGATTCGGTTCACTACCTATACTGTAAAATATATGCCCTGATTTTAGTGTTGTCAGGTTTTCTCCATGTCGCCTTACTTCACTGACTCGAATGATATCCCATTTTACTTTTGACATCTCGATTTCCATTTCGGTGACTTTTTCTTCAGATATTAATGTTGTGGCATTGTAGGTATAGATAAAGAGTGTTAAACGTTTTTTCGTCTTTGGCGTCGTCAGTTTTTTAACCCCCCTCCCCCCAAAATCCTTGGGACAGATTAATAAATCAGTGTGAAACTTTCGATTTCTCGCTATACTCACCTGGAGTATATCCGTTTTTGTTTTAAAATATGACATTTTGTTGGGAGTTATTTGCCTTAAAACACTACTCTGGCAAAGCGGGTTGGTGAGTTTTTAATTCAGCTGCTTATTGTGAGTACCGACGCTGATTGAAGCCGCCCGTTTCGGGTCAGACACTTCTAAGTTTGTGATCTTATAATATCTCTAAAATCAGAAGTTGCCAACTCCGCCATTTTAGCCGTACCAAAAATATTCTTCGACGCCTTGGATGCCGTTCTGGACTCAGTGGCGCACCCAGGGGTCAACCCCCCCCCCCCCAGGATCCTATTCCGATACTGTTATTTACAAATTTTAAGTTCTTAAAATGGTGGAGGTAGCATAAAAAAATTTCGGTGCCAGACCAAACCTCCCCCCCCCCCCAGAGGACAATTCTAGGTGCGCTACTGTCTGGACTTCATCCGTGACCCTAGACAAGGGACAAGCGCTAACTTCCCGGGTCAAGAAGCTCCTAGAATCTGCGGAGGGCAGGGATTGATTCCCTTTTCCTGATAGGACTATCTAATAGAATCCAAGGGACTCCAAAGGCAGACTCCTGATGACAGACAATACAAGGTAATATAAAACATTTTAAAGATATGTAACATGTGTAATAACATATTATATAATGAAATTAGATGCAGCTATCCACTCAAGACACATGGTCATTGGAGCCAAGAAGGCCATTCGATTTTATTGTATTTCGTTACGAGTGCTTCCTACAGTTAGGATGGAGATATATGGCTAAATGTTGAAAGCCAAAACGGGGCGTAGACCTGACTACCTGATTCAACTAGTAAGATTCGTAATGTGTTAGCTGAAGCTACCCATGAAGCTGACAGAGCTTTTGGATAATGTTTTTACACATCCTTATGTTAAAGGCGGTATTTTCAATATGTTTTTTGAATGCTAAGGTTTTGCCTAAAGTCACGCCAAGGTATTTAGGATGCTCTTAGTGTTTAAGCACAGTATTATTAAAAAAGACTTCTAGTTGGTGAATTACTTTCTTGTTATTAAGGTGAAAGCAACTAGCTTCAGTCTTATTTAGGTTTGCTATAGCCTAAATGTTTTGAACTATTTATCCAGAGTGGACAAATCATCTGTTAAGTTTGTACCGTATCTTCAAAGTTCTTATGTTGATGTGTTAGAGCTGGATTATCAGCGTTGATAAATTTCCTTGCAGAAGAGTTGGTAAGGTCTGATTTATAACACTTAAATACAGTGGGGCTAAAACAGATCACTGTCATAGCAGCGATAGTCTTTGTCTGCTTATATTGTTACGTTGTTTTTGGGAGAGTTCGTATTTTGGAAAATAATGGAAGCTTTATTCATTTTATGATTGTTTCCTGAATGCAAAAAGGAGATACACCTAATTATTTGTTGCACGTATAATGTTCTATCTGAAAAAGATATGGACTTTGGAATGACTCCATTGATCTCTTAAATTTATAATTTTCTCTTGCAATATTTTTTTCAGTTTTAAAAATGGTTCTTTTACGAGAGAAAGGATCCGGGACCAATGCGCAGAAGGCTCATGGGATGTTTTCAATCAATTATTAGAAAGCACGCCTAGAGGAAATTTCGGAAATATAGGACTTTATTACGATAATCAAGAAATCATTCCATTTTTACATGGCGATTACCGATTCAGTAAGGGTGGTCGTGTTACCAAGTTTAATAGTTTAGAAGTCGAAGTGAGAGCTGTTATTGAGGGGCAGTGTATTAGAAATAGGGCTTATTCCGAAGATTTTGGACTTAAAATAGGTAACATATATTTTTTCTATGGCACATGGTTATTCATTACAGTAGACACATATCTTTTTAAGTAAAAATGTAAATCAACTTTTTGTCAACTTTAAGGGTAATTTAAAAACATGTACAAAATATTTGAGCATCATTTACATTGATTGATTACATTTTTGCAGAAAGTTGTGTTTATCTTCTGGATTGATGTCGATTTATGTACTTTTATATCTCCATTTTTGATCGTTTAATTATATTACTGTTCATTATTATGTTCAGGATTTAATTATTAGTATATAACCGCATTCTTTTTAATTTCCTTGTTTCTTTTACAAGCTTCCTTTGAACTTATTCAAATTGATCATGTAACCTTTTCTCTTCTGTATTGTTTGTTTAATATTGTTCTTTCCTTGACATATTGTATCACTACTATTATTAATATTTTGTACACAGACAGTAATGGTTGTTTTACCAAGCTCTTACTTTCCTTCTAACAGTAATTGTTTGTTTATCGGCGGCAAGCAGCTTCTCTATTCCTACTTCGTTGTATCTTGTGTATGCAGGGGGGACTTCAACAGCCTTGAACCGTAGGATGTTCAGAGTTGCGCTTTCCACCGTCTAGGACGTATTTAGGGTGTTTGTGGGGTGGGGCAGGAGGGCAACACAATAGGAGGTCTATATATACTCAGTTGAATAGCGTAGCTTTATTTCTACTGGAAGCTTAGGCTGCCTGAGCTCCTATCTGTCGCCAGTTTCCTGAACTGCTACACTCCCGTCTATTGTGGTGGGTGCGGGAGGGTGGGGAGTATGCGAGGGCGACAAGTCTCTCTCACACAGGCAGTTAGTTCATATAATCGTTCTTAACTTTACAGCGGACTCTCATAACATTTTTATCGACGAGTTTTTCGCACTCCCCTGTTTGAAAGCGGATCTCTATTATCTCTGTGCCGTCTTATATACTTGACTACACATTTATGTGGAGATGAATTTTTAGTGTCGTTCTTGGAATAGCTCCCAGATTCATGGAATCACAGATTCCAACGTCCTGTCGGTTTTCTACCACAGGATTTATTTTATTTTTATTTTCATATATATTTAACATATATTAATCCTATTAAAGAGTTTGATACTTCTTATATTCTCTCTTTTTTCTGTTCATTCTTATTAATTCAGTAGAAGTGATTTAGTCCACGGTACTTTTTGGAGAAATTTATATTGTGTTTTGTATTTTTTTTTGGGTTTTCATACACGTATTTATGGACACGTGTCTGATGTTAAGTTACTCATTATTTAAAAGATTCTAGGAATTGGCTTGGGTATAATATCTCTCTATAAGGTTGATTGTTACAGAAGGTATTGGTTTGTATAGATTTATTGGGTTTAATAATCGCTAGGTTCATCTACAAGCAAATAAGAATTTACTCCATATAACAAAGCTACTCTAGCGCCCAGTGAGAATTAGCATCCAAATAAGACAATGTCTACTTTAATCTCTCATCTACTATATGCGAAAACGTATGCAATCATATTTCTAAAGCATCTTAGAGAGGTTTATATGATATTATAAATAACATTCATGGCATTAATTCTTAAGAGATATACTTGGTTTCGCCTTCGGATGAGTCGGATATGGGGTCGGAGCTATGAAACTTTAGTCCAAGTGTCATTAAAGACCGACCGCATTGAGTATGTACATAAACAATAACAAAAATTGGAATCATATGGTCAAATTTCAGCGAAGATTTTTTTAAAAAAGCTTTCTATCCCAGAGGATATTTGCTGCAACTAGAGGAGCAAATCCGAAACAGAAAACAGAGACAAAATGAGCCGGTAGATAGATATATCACGGAGATTCAAACACTAACCAGACGAGAAGGATCGTTTTCCCAGAAACCAAGAACTCGAAAGGATATACAAAAATCTGTTACCAGAATATAAGCTTTATGCTCGCCGCCGAGATTTTGAAAACTTAGCCGAATTACAAGATTTAGCTCAAGAATACGAAGCTTTAGAAGACGAAAAGAACCGATCAAATCAGAGTTGCCGTGGAAACTGGAGACGCACGGACCAAGCAGAGTACGATGCCAAAACGACATGCTTTAGATGCAAGATGCCAGGTCACATATCCGTAAAAACTGCAAAAAACCCGTGGAAAAAGTTTTGTTCGCGTTGCGGCAGAGAAGGGGTTTACAGTAGCGACTGCTGTTTTAGGCGTCAGGGAAACGAACTACAGACTGGAGAAACAAGGAGTCGTCCCAGTCCTGTAAAGCAAGATTCGACTCCATTCGTTTTCCGCCTTACACAGCCAGCAAGCAATGACATTCGGCTGTTCGCATCGCTGAAAATAGGGCAAAGAACATACAGAGCGCTCATCGACACAGGAACCACTAAAAATTACGTCGGGGATAGAATAGCTAAGACATACAAAGACTCTCTAGATAGCTACAGCGGGAGAACAAGACTAGCAAATGGAGCGTCAATGGAGCTTAAACAGAAGTTGACGATTGAATGCGAGATCGATAGGTTACAAACCCGACAAACATTCATAGTAATGCCAGGGTTGACGGAAGATGCCTTACTAGGAGTGGAATTCCTTAGGAACCATTCTATCGAACTAAATTCGATAAACATACGAGCAAACAATTCGTACAACATCAAGAAGAGGCATGTAATACTTTAAAAGACTCCAACCAAAAATACAGAGCTAGAAAGGTTTCTAAGAAAAGAACTAAGGAGTTTGAGAACATAACAGGACCCCTAACTTAATAGAACACGAAATAAAATTGAAGACAAAATGCGATCCAGTCAAACAGCCTTATAGACGACACAATCCCGCAATGCTGCAGATCATCAACCAAGAAGGTAAGACAAGATGTTAAAAGAAGGAACCATCGAACCCTCCACAAGTGGGTTGGAGTTCACCGATTGTACTAGTTAGGAAAAAATGATAACTCGTACAGGTTTTGCATTGACTTTAGAAAAGTCAACGAACTATCAGATAAGGACGCATATCCGTTACCAGAATATCGGAAATTCTGGATAGACTTAAGGAAGCAAATTTTATATCAACCCTCGATTTGGAAACAGGGATATTTTCAAATACCTCTAGAAGAAACTAGCCGCCCAGTGACAGCATTCAGCGTACCCGGAAAAGGCCATTTTCAGTTCAAAACCACCCCATTGGGACTGCATTCCGCAGGAGCCACTTTCCAACGCCTACTGGACAAGGTAATACCTCCTGATATGGAATTCGCGTTTGCCTACTTGGATGATATCGTAGTAATATCTAAAACGCTCCAAGAGCATTTAAATCACCTACAGGAAGTCTTCCGAAGACTGAAAGAAGCCAAGTTACAGCTGAACTTTGAAAAATGCACGTTTTGCCAGTCAGAACTCAGATACTTAGGACATGTGGTTGGAGCAGAAGGAATAAAAACTGACCCGGAGAAAACCAACGCTATAACCGGACTTACAGCACCGAGAAATGTGCGTCAACTCCGCCGGTTTCTAGGAATAACATCATGGTACCATGCCGATTCATAGAGAACTATTCGACAATAGCAGGACCGCTAAACATGCTTCTGAAGAAGAAGATAAGATGGAAATGGACCGATAAGCAAGAAAACGCGTTTGAAGAGCTAAAATCAAAACTTACATCGGCCCCAGTATTAGCATGCCCCGTTTTTTCAAAAACATTTTACCTGCAAACAGATGCGTCGAACTGCGGGACTTGGAGTCGCACTAACACAGAAGTACGACGGCCAGGATAAAGTAATCGCATATGCTAGTCGAACCCTCACACCGGCCGAGACAAAATATTCCACAACGGAAAAAGAATGTCTATCCATCGTATACGGGATAAAGCAAATGAGGCCATATATAGATAGGATACAATTTTAAGGTCATATCAGACCATCAATCCCTCAAATGGCTGAAGAACCTTAAAAACCCGTCAGGTCGATTAGCCAGGTGGAGTTTAGAACTGCAACAGTACGATTTTGAGGTAATATATAGAAAGGGAGTCCTCAACAAGGTAGCAGATGCTTTGTCACGACAACCACAGGAAAACCAGAGCGAAGAACCAGAGTTGGAATTATTAGCATCAGAATTGGAATCATGCAGTTGGTACGATAATTTATATAGAAATGTACTCCAGAACCCAGACGATTTCCCGGATCTACAAATAACAAACGGGAAGTTATATAAACACATTTGGAGCAGCCGTAATTTAGCCGACCCAGAGTTTAATAACCCATGGAAGTTATGCGTACCAAGATATAAAAGGAAAGATATTTTGGAGGAAAATCATGACTCGACCACAGCAGGCCATTTAGGAATTGCAAAAACAATTTGCCGAATAGCGCAAAAGTACTATTGGCCTAAGATGTTTAAAACAAATCGCAGACATACGTTAGAGCTTGTACGAAGTGCCTCCAATATAAACCGTCTCAAATGCAACCAGCCGGAAAATGCAACCGTCCACTGTAGAAAAGCCTTGGCATACTGTCTCAGTTGATTTAATGGGACCATTCCCAAGATCTGCAAAAGGAAACATTTTCTTAATAGTCGCGCAAGACCGGTTTACCAAATGGTCGTTGCCCAGCCAATAAGAGCAGCATCTACGAACTCCATCATCGACACTTTACGATCGAAGGTAATTATGCAGTTCGGCATCCCGACGAAAATCATTTCGGACAACGGCGCGCAGTTCACAAGCAGCAATTTTAGGCGTTCCTAAAGTCCCTATAACATAAATCACATTCTAACACCGCCGTACTCACCTCAAGGCAATCCAGTAGAACGAATGAACAAAGTACTGAAAACGATGATAGCCACATACGTAGAAGATAACCATAAAGACTGGGACAAATTCATACCAGAATTCTGCTACGCCGTAAATTCGTCAAGACACGATTCAACAGGGTTTTCACCAGCACTGCTTAATTTCGGAAGAGAATTAGACACAACAGAGGCGACAAGTGGACAAGATATACAGGGTATGCAGAAAACTTGAACAAGTT